TAACTCGTGAGACATCTCGCATTGTGATGTAATGAATATGCATACACCTGGATTCCCCCTCACAGTAATATGATTGGCTGGTATCAGCCATAAATACAGACTGATGTGGAGGTACAGAACGACGCCTATAGTCTTTGCCTATTGGCTACCACTACAACAAGGACCAGTCCATTACGGTTACCTGCTAGATTGTCCTACTCGGTTACAGTAGCCCAAACCCACTACTTCGAACAAATATATCCCTTTCCGGGACATATCAGAACCAAACCAAAATGAACCCAACTGAAATAATTCTTATAATCTAGAAATATTTGTCTGGCTTTAAATAACCTCAAAGGGCTCGTAAGCCATAGAAAATGAATCAAACATTCACTATGTCAGTTACAAATCGTATCTTTTTTTTTTTTTTTAAAGAAAATTATCGTTGACTTGCTTCGGTTAATGGCTTATCGTAAAATGTAAGACATTTTTTTTGTTACCACTGGTCATTTTCACTTTGATCTTATATTAATTGAACGGTTGAAAAAAATTATGTATCAAATATAACTTTGGAATCACTTTTAATTGCATAAAACAGAGAGTAAGTAGAAAATTAAAATCAATTAAATAGTTTTCAAAAATAAGTCTGATCAAAGCGAATAACAGTTATGAACCTGACAATTTCAAACTATTATAGAAATTAAAGTACTTTTTTGCTTAGCAATCTTTTATATTTATTTTTTTATTAAAATATATTTCATCGTTACACTATGTTAAACGAATGCTCATGAGAAAATTTAAAATTCTGATATAAATTAAATTACTGCATTAACGTTATCGATTTAAATAAATGTTCAAATTAAAATATATTACTTCTCTGCAATATGCAAAATGAAACGTAATGAAAAAAATTAAAATTATAATATTAATTAAATTATTGCTTTGTTTAGCAACGTTTTTGATTTATTCAATAAAATATAATTCATTGTTACGGTATACGAAAATGAATCCCCATTTTAATGTTTAAAACTTATATAAATTAATTTACTGCTTTTTAGCAATGTTTTTTTATGTATTCATTATAAATATATATATCAAATATATAGTAAAGGTAATAAATCTATTGGTATATAATCCAAGAAGATCCTAGTAATATAAAATGTTAAAACTGATCCACAAAAAGAGCTCAATGTATTTATTATTACAGAGCAAATAAATAGTAGTAAACCAAAAAGTCCCAAATTACCTCATAGACCTATTTTAAGCGACGAAAACATCATCAGTCTTATTCCACCCCGGTATACAGACTGAGTTCATGTCGAAATTAGGTATTTAACTGGCTATTTAGATTAATTAATTAGTTAAGAACTCAGACTAATAAAGTTTTCGTCGGTTGGAATAGGTTTATACACCATAATTTTAGAGGTAATTTTAGATATATATATATTATATATTATATATATATATATATATATATATATATATATATATATATATATTGTAATTCTTTATTATTGTCCATCTGATTATCTATTTATTTATTTGTTTATTCAAGTGGGTGTTTTATATACAAATCGTATTGCACTGAATTTCAATTTGTTTTTTTTTGTTTTTTGACGACTACAAAAAGGGTTTTTCCTATTTAATGATTTGGCTAAGCTTTTAAGACTTTTATTAAGCTATGGGATTTTTTTTGATTTTTTTTATGCTAATTATTTAATGCGAAAGTTTGTTGATGTCGGCAAAAAACCGTTAACTCCTGCCTATGGTTTAATAATTTTTCATTATTTAGAAATTTAATTAAGGACAATTCTCCAGACACATAACGACTTGTACAGCGCGCCATAAAAATATCCCTCACTGGGAACCAACTAAAGGATGACCGCAAACATTAGCCTTGAAATAGATACCCTACCCAACCTTAGCAAAACCTCTCAGAAGATAATGTATCTATTGATAAGAATTAACTCTTCGACCACTTAACGAAGAAAAATAGTCTAGCCACTCCCACAATAACGAATTCTGTAAATGACCATGCCTAAAAACACACGTAAACCGGGAGATAGCGTCCTAAAATTTCGCTTGAAGATGAAACGGGACTAAACACCACAATTCAACTTAATTTTAATAATTATTTGGATGGTTTCGGCTCTCGTTTTTGAAACATGAGAACTCTTATGTAGCGAAGGAATCATATTTTAAACAAAAATATTATATATATATATATATATATATATATATATATATATATATATATATAATATATTAAAAGTGGACACTGAGGTTAAAACTGAGTGTCGGCATTCTGGGTCATTCTTTAATGATGCAATATTCAGGTGATTGTCACCAACGCGTGTAAACTTTTATATTTACATACGCTCTCTCCCTGATATTGTGCAATTTTAGCCATACATATAGCATACCTTAACATTTTATTTTTATCATACAGAATGCGAAAGAACCATATCCCGCATAATGGTAAGTCATTAGCTAGATGAAGACACCATTGCCACTATGCTAAGAGGTATCTCCGACCATGGCCACTATTCACGACCACCCCTTCCTCATTCACCATCCCAAAAGGACTTCCAGGTATTTCCATCAATGTAAACGGCGCTGGATAAAGTTTATGGCTTCAGAAGTGAGACTACTTCGAAGGAGATATAGAAGCTGAATTGATATTTGTTTTTCTTTTTGTTTTTTGTTTTTGTGTTATTTTTTTTTTGTTTTTTTAAGCACCAGTCCCGATATTTTTTGATCAAACCGCTTACCTAGTAAAATGTTCAGGATATCAGCTACCCCAGTAACCGTGCGACCTCACATGGTTACCGGACTTGATGATGATTCGAACATTTTTTACAGCACAATTATCAGTATTATTGTGGCGTAACCAGTTGTATCTGAAATTTTTAAAACACACGCACACGGGCACATTTTTCACTTAAATTCAATCAGATTTAAGTTACTTGGGAAAAAAAAAATTATGTTTAATATTATTCCAATGTTTAGAAAGCAGAACTTTCTTTCTGTGAGGAAACAGAGACTATTGTCTTCTAAGGAAACCATGCATAAATTTAAAACAAATGATCCCTTTATTAAATAAAAGAATTGCCCGTCCATTCCTTATTCTTTTATCATCTTTGCAAATGCTTTAAGTGTATGTCGTTGTATTTAAATTGCGAACGTTATATATCGGTGTAGGTTGTAATAAATAAATATATATATATATATATATATATATATATATATATATATATATATATATATGTAACCTGGGTATAAGAGATCCGGATATAAGAGAAACCCGGATATAAGAGAGATTGTCTCTGGTCCCAAATTAGAGCCTGTGTTAATGTATATAAAATGGACCAAACCCGGATATAGAGAAACCCGGATATAAGAGACTTCTTTTTCGGTCCTGACAACTCTCTTATATCCGGGTTTACTGTATATATATATATATATATATATATATATATATATATATATATATATATATATATATATATATATGTGTGTGTGTGTGTGTGTGTGTGTGTGTGTATGCTGTTGGGCAGCTCGAGGGGTTGTAATGGTTAGTAAGCTTGTCTCACTAGAACAATTACGACTGAATAGTGAGTTCGATCCTCACTGGGTGCCCCCTACTTTCGGCCTTGTGCCACATCTAAGCTACACTTGGAAAATCAGTATATGTGTGTGTGTGTGTGTGTATGCCATTGGGCACCTCGAGGTGTTGTAATGGTTAGCAATCTTGTCTCCTTAAAGCAATCACGACTGAGTAGTGAGTTCGATCCTCACTGGGTGCCTCTTACTTTCGGCCTTGTGCCACATCTAAGCTACACTTGGAAAATCACTATATCGGTGTAGGTTTGTGCTACGTTTTTTAATGATATAAAATAGGTTTTAATTTACAAATATTTCTACTTGTGTCTTTGATAAAGTTACCTGTAAACAAGGCCCAATGGCCTCTCAAGGTAGAGGGTTACTGAAGGCAATTGTTATGCGAGCAGTAAGCGTAAGGGGAGCAGCAGATGAGGATATATGTTAAACATAACGAATGAACGAATATTTATTGAGATTAAAATGTAGTAATGGGAATAGTTCCTCCTGAAATATATAGGTATGTTGATGATGATTCGAACATTTTTACAGCACAATTATCAGTATTATTGTGGCGTAACCAGTGGTTAAAGATACATTATGCGATAGGACAGGTCTTTACGTGTGCCCTGCCTATTGTAGAAGATAATTTTTTCGTTAGAGTCTGGCAATGACGTGGCTAGCTGTTTCCTTATAAGGCCTTCATCGACTGATCAGATAGGGTTGCCTTCGGTTCAAATTCATGAAGTCTTTCTTTTTTCAGGAAAATAATTTTACTCAAGTCCATTGATATCACTCCTTCCGATATTGTCTTCGAGTTGAATAGCAGTGGTCACTAAAATGGCACCTCTAACTCGAAGAGAAAATAATGGCATAATGTAGATGTTGACCTCCCACACTATTTTAAATAAAAGGTTAGGAAGCAAACCGCTATCAATACTGGAAAGCGCTACAACTGTTACTGAATTTAAGGACCGTCCTAGGTATGACGATAAACTACATCCGGCAGGAAGGCCTTAAATCGAAAGGTATTGAGGAGCGTGTAACAACCTTTCGGTTGCTGTTGTTCCCAGATCCAATCTGAACCGGGGTCGTAGCATCTGTTAGGGTTTCAGCTATGGGACAAATAGTGAAACATCAAACAAAAATTAACAGTACATTTGTATTATAAAATTACCAACAATACACTTTTTAGTAAAATTACCAACAATACATTTCTTTAAAATGACAAACACTACATTTTATCACCTGCAAGTAATATAGCTAAAAAAAAAAAATATATTAAAATAAAAAAAAAAAGTGTTCACTCTTGAAGTATAAAATTCTGTATAAAATATCTGTAGTTGAAGCCACAGAATTGCGTTGCGGGGGGGGTAGATATGACGCTAAATAATCTCAACCAACCTACATATCTTTTTTAGTTGTCTTTATCTGTCACTTTTTTTTTACTTTTCTATCTATCTATCTATCTATCTATCTATTCGTAATCTATCTATCTATCTATCTATCTATCTATTCATGCCTGTTCATTATCTATCTATCTATCAGTCTATCTAAGACTCCTGTTAATCTATCTATCTATCTATCTATCTATCTATCTATGTCTCTTAATTATCTATCTATCTATCTATCTATCTATCTATCTATCTATGCCTGTTCATTATCTATCAATCTATCTAAGTCTCCTCGTAATCTATCTATCTATCTATGCCTGTTCATTATCTATTTATCAATCTCCACTTTATCTATCTATCTATCTATCTATCTATCTATCTTATCTATCTATCTATCTATCTATCTATCTCAGTCCATTATCTATCTCATCCATCTATCTATCTATCTATCTATCTATCTATCTATCTATCTATCTATCTCTCAGTCTAAGACTCCTTTTAATCTATCTATCTATCTATCTATCTATCTATCTATCTATCTAAGTCTCTTAATCATCTATCTATCTATCTATGCATGTTCATTATCTATCAATCTATCTAAGTCTCCTCGTAATCTATCTATCTATCTATCTATCTATCTATAGTTCATTATCTATCGATCAGTCTATCTAAGACTCCTGTTAATTCATCTATTATCTATCTATCTATCTATCTATCTATCTATCTATCTATCTATCTATCTCAGTCTCTTATTATCATATCTATCTATCTATCTATCTATCTATCTATCTATCTATCTATCTATGCCTGTTCATTATCTATCAATCTATCTACGTCTCCTCGTAATCTATCTATCTATCTATCTATCTATCTATCTATCTATCTATCTATCTATCTATCTAAGACTCCTGTTAATCTATCTATCTATCTATCAGCTCCGAGAGTTTTTGAAAATTTCTCGACCTGATTAAATTCCTTAAATCTGTTCAATTAAATCAAAGATCAGAATATATTTTGGGTGTCTGTGTATATTTCTGAGATGATGTATTATGTACATTATTTACATTATTCGGGCCATTGTCCTAATCTTTGTTGCCATATTTATCACAACGTTTCGGCCGTTGTACGCTTCGGCCTTCTTCAAATGGCTGGAATGTCGAACTGAAACCTTTATACACAGATGTCCTTAAGACTTAAACACATGGATAAAAGCGTTGGTTAGATCCAGTGACAGGACCCAAAGAGTTGTGAGTTCAATACCCAGTTAAGGCAGTGGAGAACTTGGAGAGGGGAATTAACAGGAGATAACTGATAACTGACATCCATTAGACATGGCACGTGGAACTAGAACAGTCTAACCCAGCGAGCGAAATAAAGGGTTCAGTTTGATATTCCAACCACCTGAAGAAGGCCGGAGCGTACAACGGTCGAAACGTTGTGATAAATATGGCAACAAAGATGAGGACAATAGTCACTCAGGATAGAGGTTACTAAATGAGAATGTTGTAATAAGTAAGGGAAAGGGGGAGAGGGCATATTATGAGAACCTGTAGGATAGATATCGGACACTGGACTTGAAGATTATGTTCCCGTGAAAAAAGCTGCCTGAGTGGCATTTCCTCCTTACGAAAGCAATATGGGGGAAATGGGGATGATTTGACGCCGTGTACGGGGCAAGGCGGGTCCTGACTTAGTGGAACCAAAGAATGTATATCGTATTTGAATATCTGTCATTGAACATTTGTTTTTTTTTTTTACGAAGTGCGCCGAAATTTATAGGTTCAAGTTGAGCATGGTTGATTTCAAAATATGTCAACCTTTGTTGGATTACTTCACGTCAATTTTTTTCAGGATCGAACACACTGTTCATAAGTAATGCTCAGACAAACTATTCTCGTTAGACATTACATCAGTCCGATCGTTGATTTTACGACATGTTGACATTTGCTGGGTTATTCAACGTCGATTTTTTGTATTAGACACCCAATGAGGATCGTAGTCCCGAATCAGTAGAAATGGTTAACTAAACTGTCACAACTTGGTAAGGCAGTTTGGCTTGATTTGTTTTACGGCATATCAACACCTCAATGGGTTATTTAATACCGACAAGATTTTTATTGCTGGTAATATTTTTTTCCCCAAAATCTTTTACTGCTAATAATTATTTTCTTCGAAAATTTATAGCTGGTGATAATTTTCTGACAAAAATGTATTTCTGGAATTAAAACATATTTTTACACTTTGACACTAGTGCTTTGACTCTAGTTAGGGTGTTACCTATTTTCCCATAGCTGTGACCCTGACAGGTGCTACCACCCCGGGTCAAGATGGACCTGGGAACACCCGCAATTAAGAGGTGGTCCCACGCTCCTCAAAACCTCCTGATCCTTGCTGTTGGATGTAGTTTATCGTCTTACCGAGGAGCGGGATGTAGTTTATCATCATACCCAGGACACTTTGATAAGGCGGTTTATAATAAGAGTGACAATGCAATTTAGTCTGGTGACTTCAGTTTGCAGGAACAACACTCCTGCTTCATATTCACACATATATCAACACAATATGGCCGACACTGTACTTCCGTGTCTGAAAAATGGCTGAAACGGTGCTTCCTTTTCCTTAGTTCCCGGTTACAACATAAACTATTCCCGATAACCATTATTCCACCCTAACTGTTCGTCGATTTTACGATATCTCTGTCCTTGTAAAGTGAATTAATATCGATTTTTACCCAGGGAGGATCGAATGAACTACCCTGTAGTAACAGTCTGTCAGAATAGCCTCACTAAATATTACTCCATACTGGATTGTTGGTTGTTTATTTTTGCGTCATTCGTTGAGTAATTCAAATTTGAATCACGCTAATGATGGGCCATTGTGGATTGAATTCACTAATTTAAGAAATAGTTAACCTGACAAGTTTCACTGAACAATAATCTACGTTGATCGTTCATTGTTATTTTTTAAGATTATATATCAACCATTTTTATTTTTGTTTTTTAAATCTCCGATCTTTATGGGAGACCCTTTAAGAATCGGCCCCTTTTACTCATCACTAATGGTCAATCTGACGAGCATCACCAACCCATACGGAGGCACCCTGAAGTTAAATTCTGTGACCTACTAGCTACAAACTAAAGTTAGCGTTAGATAGATGAGCCAGTTTGGTCGCTAAATAAATGCATAGGTATACCGATACTTTGACAGTCTAATAGACGTCAATCAAGTCGACATGATTTCAGACTTGAAACAGAATTTGGAATAAGTGATCGTGATTCAGTTTGCAAAGACAGTATCGATCCATCGATCAGTGACTTGACCTCAAAATGGATTCCTTCATTCTATGGCTTTACAGAGTCGGTACTTCTTTTCATTTGATCGTAACGGTTCAGTTACTGGCCTCTGATATAACTCATTACTACTTGTACAAAGCGTGCAATATGTAAGCTTTTGTCTGGTTTGGTTTGATTTGTTTTACGGCATATCAACCGCAATGGGTTACTTAATGCCGACAAAACTTTCATTCCTGGTAATATTTTGTTTTGTCAAAAATTTATTTCTGGTAATATTTTTTTTTCCAAAAAGTTCTGCTGGTAATGATTTTTTTTCTTTCATAAAACTATTTCTGGTAATATTTTTTCATCAAAAATGTATAGCTGGCAATAGTTTTTTCTTCAAAAATTTATTGCTGGAAATATTTTATATATACAAAGTATTTCTGGTATAAAACCTGTTTTTACACTTTCATAGTGTTTTTACCCCAGTTTCGGACTTAACTATTTGCCAATAGCTGGGTCCCTAACAGGTGCTACCACCCCAGGTCAGGGTGAACCTGGGAACACCAGCAATTAAGAGGTGGTTCCACGCTCCTCAAAACCTCCTGATCAGAGGCTTTGTTGTTGGATGTAGTTTATCGTCTTACCCTGGACACGGATGTAGTTTATCGTCTTACCTTGGACACGGATGTAGTTTATCGTCTTACCCTGGACACGGATGTAGTTTATCGTCTTACCTTGGACACGGATGTAGTTTATCGTCTTACCCTGAACACGGATGTAGTTTATCGTCATACACAGGACGGACGCGTTCGTCTGTGTACATACCCAGTATGCAGTCGTTCATGTACAACCATTGGTATTTAGTTATATTGTACTCCAGGGTCAGCTGTCAATCTGTACAGCTGGTTTCGATTTCAGATTACTCCAGTCTTCTGAATGTATTATACACTTGTAGTAAGATTAGGTAGTAATAACACCATACGAAAATATACACTTTCCTCTTTACTAAGAGATTGACAAAGAAAACTCTCTCTCTCCTAATCTTATATATATATATATATATATATATATATATATATATATATATATATATATATATATTATTTATTAAAAAATAATAACATAAATATGTTATAAAATCACTACAAAAATCATTTTATTTTATCTTTAACATCATCACTTGATAAGACACCGAGGGTATTGAAACAAAATGGCTATTTTTGTAGTGATTTTATAACATATTTATGTTATTTTTTTAAATAAATAATTATATCTGCTCTACTTTATATACACTTTTTAAGAATAGTAATTATTGGATATTGGAATTCATTCCGTATATATCAATTATATACTTGGGTATATATATATATATATATATATATATATATATATATATATATATAGATAGATAGATAGATAGATAGATAGATAGATAGATGAGCCAGTTTGGTCGCTAAATAAATGCATAGGTATACAGATACTTTGACTGTCTAATAGATATATATATATATATATATATATATATATATATTTCTTTTCCTTCCTTCTATTGTTCCTATCCTAGTTAACACACATGAATCCGGACTTAGTTTATGTGGGTCAGTGAACGTCATAAAAAAAAATCAACCAATGACAATACGTCTCACCAAAATCAAACGGGAAACGCGGAAGTGTCAGCCCTAATATAAAGAAGAAAACCACGTACGTGACGAGAGACGCCGCAATGGAGAGGAACTTGATTCGTGGTATCAGTCCGTGATTCATCGGTTGTGAGTTTGACCTGACATACAACTCCAGAAGAGATAGAAGAAGAAAGGACGAATGCAACGAATTAATTTCCGTCAACCAGAAGGAACACAGAAAACCTGTATGAACTCTCACACCACAAAAAGAACTATGACGATAGTCAACCATTTCAAACACTGTAACCAAATGGAGTCATCAATAAATGGTACTATAGACAGTAAATTTGACCTTTACTTCATTACTATATACCATACACAAATAAAGAAACGAAATATTAAAAACGCCAAATTTTTTCAGCATCAGCCCCTTACTTATCATGATTAAATGTTTTATTCCAAGGTAATAAAGCCACTAAGACGTGAGAATTTACTGAGTGTAAATAAATATGAGATAAAGCACAACAGTATTAAGGAGAGAGAACAATAACAGAACAGTAATTAAGAAAACAAAGATAAAGATTAATATTGCATTGAAAATTTTGATCAAAGTAGACTTGATAGATTGATTTGTTTTTACGACTTAGCAATCCCTTGGCAGTTTATTTTAAGCCATCAGAATTTGAGGCATTGCTGCCGGATCTGGTTTATCGTCATACACAGGATGGTGTTTCTGTTAGTAATTCGTTGAGTATTTCTTTACTATATTCCATATAAGCAAAGCTCGAGCCATATATATATATATATATATATATATATAAGCAATCTTCATGCCCTTCGATTGCTTTGAAGCATGAAACAAACTTTTACCTTTGGATATTGACTTCAATGTACACTTTCATATTTATATACAGTCTATCACAGATATTCAGCCCGTTAACCCATATATATATATATATATATATATATATATATATATATATATATATATATATTTATTATTATTTATTTAAAATATGATTCCATCGCTATATGAGTTCTCATGTTTCAAAACAAGAGCCGAAAAC